TCGGAGAAAGTTGATGTAATTGTGGTACGTTTTCGAAAGAATTACCCAACAGGAATATGTGAGTGTAGGTGAACATAAACGACGGTGTGGTCTACAACAGAAAAAGAACCCTGAACTCACAATTGCACCCCATTTATTTAAACAGCGGCATGGAATTCGAAGTAAAAGATCATCTCAGGCATTTGAAGACTTGCTACAAAAAAGGATAACAAGATACTTAGTGACTCTTTCTGGGTAATTGCCAAGTGCTTCAGATCAGTTTACGTTTTCCCTGAAGTTCATGAATGAATCGAAGAACGATATTTTGTAGGAGCAAACCGTTCGGATAATTCAAAATTTGAACAAATTGCTTACGTGCTTTAGGTTTTTAATAGCTACCCGAACTTCAAAATGCTGAATGATGCCGAACTCTCGATGCGGATCATTTCCTGCTATCAACATGAGTCTCAACAGTTTTCGTTTTTCGACCACAAGAAAAATTCTAGCTAATTAGATGGGTCGCTCCATCGCTAGGAATCAGATATGACCGTTAAGAAACAGGAATAGCTTTAGTCTCCTTGTGAATAGATGATTCTCTGGGACACTTTGAGGCCTTATTTACTATTGACTTTAGTCCAAAAATCCAATCTCAGTGTCATATAGACTGATCACGATGAACACTACTATTCGCGACTAACGAAATGGTTGGCAACCGTATCGATCAATCCGAAAAGATTCTCATAGTCTCCAATACAATGTGAAGTGCTGCAAATACAATTCTAGTGACGTCTGCAATCTTTATACTCTCTATTTAAGTAGAGTAACTTACTCGGTATTTGATTGAGCCGAACTGGTAGTTACCGGGAGAGATGGATGAGCCGTACCTGGACGTGCAGGTGACATCATCGTGGCGGATGGAAGAGCCAAAAGAGGAAATGGTGGAGAGGTCTCTTTGAGTTGAATTATATGCAGTCCATTTCCTGCACTAAGAATCGAGGTCACTTGTAATTGTCTAGCTGGAGGAAGCAAAACTTCATCTTCCATTGGATAATATGAGTGACGTTGAATGTTTACGGCCGAGCTCGTTTCGATACTGAATATAGTTCGCGGTCCAGTCTTACCCATGAAACCATCATTCTCGAGAACTTTAATAGATTTTGTACATGAACTAAATCCCCACCAGACGACCACTTGCCCTTCGTGATATTCTTTGTGCATATCCAATTTAACACCCCGAAACACAATGCCGGAAAAGCTCGGTAGTTTTTGTAAAGCATTGAGAATGAGCCTCAGGTACATGAACCAAGGTTTGAGCTGGCTACGGTTAGTTTCACGGAGAGTTTGGTTCAAGACAAAGTAAAGACTTTTGTCAACAGGCTCCCATCCCATCGAATAGAGTATGATAGATGCTGATTCGTCTTGCGTCAAGCCACCGGCGGGCGAATCGTCACATCGCATTTTGGCAACATGAGCGTAGGTTTCTATGTCAGATAATATTGATTTCAGCGGCTGTATACTTTCTTCTAGTGATACTAATTTGCAGTTTTCATAACCTTTGATGGGCATAAGCGTTTGTTTTGATTCGTTCGGTATTTCAGAGAACCGCTTACTTGAATCGTACATCGAAGCCATACCAAGCACTGGGGAAGCTTCTGGGATGACAGTGAGTGTGATCTTAAACGACTGTGACGCTAGAAGTATCTCCTAGTTATTCATAACATCAAGGAAATTAACACGACTGTACAATCTGACTGAGCAATGCAGAACGAACATCTAGTGCGCTACATGCCACCGTCTGTTCGCAAGTACTGTCGCAGTGTTGTGGCTATCGCACATGCTCTTGATTATTTGATCGGTAATTAGAGAGTGGATGAAAGCCATGGCAGGTTATGGGTCGTTCTTAAAGACTAAAGTGAGCTACTGAACTTGCCTGGATGATGTAGCTAGATGCGAGGAAAAAGAAGACTTGTGCTCACACTCATACTCTCGCAAGCTGACCATCTTTACCTTCTCACCTGCTTCATCAAGTGACTCATACCAAAACTTCGCCCATGCAAACTGTAAGTGGATCAAAAGAGTTTGAAGCATTTAGTACTATCTTAATTTCTAAGAAGCATACACACGTAAGGACGATAAATCTTCTTGGTGATATTTATATGGTATGAGTATAGGATGTGGGTCGATGTGGGTGTGGGTGTGGAGTGGAGGTGGAGGTGGAGGTGAGTGTGAGTATGGGTGTGGATGTGAGTGTGGGTGTGGAATGGAGGTGGAGGTGAGTGTGAGTATGGGTGTGGAGTGTGGATAGATGTGGGTGTGGATGTGAGTGTGGGTGTGGAGTGGAGGTGGAGGTGAGTGTGAGTATGGGCGTGGAGTGTGGATAGACGTGGTTGTGGATGTGAGTGTGGGTGTGGGTGTGGATGTGAATGTGAGTGTGAGTGTGGATGTGAGTGTGAGTGTGTCTCTTGGCATGGGTGTAGTGTTAGTTTACATCACACCCACACCCTCTTGGCGAATTTCGACTTATACTGCTGAGCTGTGTCTAAAGTTAGAATTCAATTAATTCATATGTTTCTATGTCCGTTCTACTCTAAGTCTACTAGTTGAAAAATGCGATCATTTTATTGACTGCAACCTAAAACAAGATCCTTTCGCTGTATGGAAAAGCAAAAGCCGCAATATTTAGACTGAGCAGTTTGAATCTACAGTGTCTCAGAATGACACAAGAACTGATACTCATTATGCACTATTCTCCGGTGCTAGGGGAACGTGTCGAATAACCTGTGCCTTACTTCTTCCTCAGTTGCTAGGACCTGGAGGGATTGCTAGGATCTCTAATGGTTGGAGCAGCGAGCGGTTGCTAGGATCCTAAATGAAGGAAAATCGCAGGTCACTGGCCGGAAGTGGGTGTATGGGCGACGTGTGGATCACGGCGTGAATGTGTATATGGAGGTTGGACGTGGGCGCAGGTTTTGATGCGTGTGGTACGCGAATGTGGCTGTACGGTGTGTGGTATTGAAATAAATGGATGTGGGCCGTACATTCAACCTCACACTCACACCCACACCCTCCGCTCTTTTCTCCAAAATTTTTGTTCGTTTACGGGAGACATACACTGAACTTCGAATCCCAATCTTGATCGCTACGCGACATCACTGAAATAATTCATTTCTCTAGTTTACCTTCCAGAGTCGACATTATCACTAAATGAAAAGAAAAGTGAACTAATCTGAGTAGCGGTGTGCTTAAAAAAACCTATTTTTCTTCCTTCCTTTCTTCTGCGAGAAAATAAAAACTGCAAAATTTTTGGAGCAAGTGTTGTTAACACTGGAGTGAATCGTTTTTGTTGATTGATAAGAGAGAACAGGCAAAAGGTATGTTGATGCAACATCGCTTGCTACTTGCAGCTGCTAGACGTTTTTAATGGGCAAACCTCAAGAAAGAATTACGTTCAGAGTATGTTTCAGCGAAGGAAGTTGGGTGTGGGTGGGTGTGGGTGTGGGTGCGGGTGAAAAGAAGACTGACACCACACTCACACCAACACCTACACCCACACCGACAGGAGTGTGGGTGTGGGTGTAATTCTGGCTAGGGGTGGGAAGTTATCGTTCCCAGACCCTTACCGGGTAACGGTAACGGTTCCAAAGGAAAAAGTTACCAGTTACCGGGTAACTGTTCCGTTACCAGTTACCCAGGAACGGTAAAGGCCCGTTACCAGTTACCGGGGAACGGTGTAACGGTACTACTTTTTGGAGACACGCACCCCGCTCAAGCCCTACTATTGGTGGGTACCCTTGAATTCACAAGTCCTACTGGTGGATGTCCTTATGTCCTCAAGTCCTACTGCAGGGTGGTACCCTTGGGTCCTCAAGTCCTACTATTGGGGGTACCCTTGGGTTCCCAAGTCTTACTACTGGAAGATATCTGAGGGGGGTTCAAATCTTTTCCCCTTATTGTAAGGGCAAGCGATGGGCATGTTCGGGCCAATCATAGGATTATCGAGAGTGCTCTATCGATTGATGGGTGTATGTAGGAGTGCCCACTCGTCCCATCACTGAGAAATAGGATCCTGCCATGTGATTGGTCCAAAAATAGACCAATCAGACTTCAGGAAGCCTTTTTTTCTCTTATTGTAAGGGCAACACATAGCCATGTTCTGGCCGACCATAGGGTTATTGAGGATGCTCTATCAATTGATGGGTATATGTATGGGCTCCTACCCAGTGCAACACGGCGAAAATAGAGCTTTGGCATTTATCCTTGAGGACCCAAGGGTACCCCCAATAATAGGACTTGAGCGCTGAAGGGTAGCTCCCAATAATAAGACTTGAGGACCCAAGGGTACCCCGCAATAATAGGACTTGAGGACTCAAGGGTATCCCTCAATGGTAGGGCCGTTACCCCATTTTTCGGTAACTGGTAACGGTAACTTCCCACCCCTAATTCTGGCTTCACTCACATCCACACCCACACTCACACCTTAAATCCCCACACTCCCAATCCCCATACCTACACCCCAAATCCCTATACCCACACCCATATCCCAAATCCCCACACCCACACCCCAAATCCCCATACCCGTACCCACACCCACCCTCACACACCCACACACACCCACACACACCCACACCCAGACTCACCCACACCCCTCACCGACACCCACACCCACACCCGTTAAGTTGCACAAATTGTGTCCCCTGAGATTAATGAACATTTTTTGAAGTTGAATTTTAAATGGTTGCATCATTTGACAGAGCAAATACTTGAGGAAAAGAGAAAATGTGCAAATTGATACATCTTTCGAGGTATTGGGTGGATGCCGTCGGTATGATTGTCGCCAAAAGGATTCCTGATGGACATCCACCAAGCTAGGCTAGCATACCATCGCAAGAAGGCCATGGAAAGATGAGCCGCATCATGACTTTCTACGTGCGCATAGCAACTGGCGACTATTTCATTGACCAGGATTGTGCCTATCGTAAGACAAAAATAATACTGGTTAAAATCGGTACAGACGGAATACTCACCCTCAGTAGTCATTGGTGCATAATATCCATTTTTCATTTCCACAAGTACTCTAATGATAGTTGAGTAGAACAGCTGATCGCTCAATAATACAAGCAGCATGTTGCCGATTTTCACCTCTTCTGCCGGAATAAAATGGAAAGTACCTCCATCGGCGACGATGAGAATGAGATGCGATGCGGTCAGACTAATTCTATGTCCTGACATCGTATAGAGCGTATAAAAAAGAACTAAGAATCAGGGGAGTGAAGGCATGGTATGTGAGCAATTTGCAGGCAAACCTTGTGAAGATCCATTTTTGTCGAGCATCATCATCATTCGAGTGACAATAACTGTGGATCCACGGCTAGTGAGAATTTCTTCACCTGGTTCCAGGCGATCGATGGATAAACTGCTACCATTTTTAAGAGTGACCATTGAATCACCTGCAAAGCACGCGAGCGATGACGATACCGAAGTTGAAGATGCAGAGTATTCGCTCGTGCGAATGGTATCGTGTTTTATATCGAGTCTAAGCCGGCCTAGATTAGGAACTTACTTATACTGATGAATAAAGAATTCTTTGTAGCTAGAGCAACAATAAATCAATATAAGCTCCCTCATCTTCAAGGAATGATAATATCACAGCTCCTTATGCAATACAATGGAAACGAAATTCTCTTTCTCCGTCTTGGTGATTATTTTATCCATAGGATGGCAATGAAAACGTAATCTGAGCACTTCTTACTCGAATATTAATAAAGTTCTGCTATTGAGGACAGCTTCTAAGCGATCAACAGCCTTCTCTAGAAATATACATGGTTATATGGAATTCAATACGCTGGCTTCTTCAATGAGCCTGATGGGCTTTAGAGTCTTTCTAAATTCTATATGATTTATGTGCTCCTCGATCTCGTAAGGGCATTTCTCATTAAATGCGCCCTAAATATGCTCGGGAGTATGAGAGTGAATGGAGGTGTGATCGTTGCTCTTTCTTGCAGAGTGTGGTTGGGTGTGAGTGGGTGGAGTGTGGGTGTGGGTGT